TGTTTTTAATTGTTTTTAGTTTCGTTTAGTAGTCTCCCTATTAGTCATCAGGGCGGTCTGTGCGTTCTCGAAGATTTTCGCATTTCGAACACGTCGCAAGAATACCAACAATACCCCCTCTAGCACCTCAACGAGAGGGCTGCACACATTAGAGGTGGCGTAAATCGGTTTCTCGCGACGTGTTACCCCTATATCTGATAGAAAATTGACGAGTTTTGATGAAAGATTTCTGCTTAAAAGTTGGTGTGTGCCCGGATAAGCATTGTAGGGAGGATAAAAGCAGGATAATTAAGTAACACTATACTACATATAGATAAGCGCCTCCTGTCAAGTCCATTTGCCTGCTAATGAACGATGTAACCCCTACCTGTTAGGTTTCTATTCTGTTGAAGTGATTTATAGCACCATTGCTATCAAGAAATAGTTATAGCTAGTTTAACTTTCTCTTTCCATCCGTACCTTGTATATGATTAAACCTTTTTTAATAACTTTCAATAGTATGTGGTAATTCAAATAAAACCATATCCATGTTAAGTTCTTACATGACCTAAGATTCATCTTACTTAGTTCTTTATTCAATATATATTCATATAATACTCAACCTTAGGTATTAGTAGCACTCAAACTCTACTGATAAAATTATAAATGAAGTCTCTAATATGGATAAAATCACCCTAAGCTTTGAAAACTTTACATTCTCCCCTTTTACGAATGTATATAGTTTAAAAGAAAGCAGTGCGCAACAGACTTCTATTGTACCATCTTATTCTATCAAAAAATCAGCTCATTAGAAGAGAGATAAATCATGATATGAAACTTTATTTCTACTGATAATATACTAGCATCACGAATATATTAATAATTCGACACTTTATTTACACATTTAATCCAAAAGAAAGATCAAATCCTATTAGTATCATACTTAATATTAATCACAACTATTGTATATCGAGCTACTACACCATAGAGTGCATGAAGCGTTCAAGAATAGAAATAGACATGCGCTCTATTCTTAGCTTCTCTTAGCCCATTAGGAATATGCAAAGTTAAGAGACTACTTTAAACGCTCCTCATCACACCCGCACAACAGTGCTTGAAGACGTTGCTTTTTCTAGGACTCCTAGCTGACTATTTCCCGATTCTAAATCTTGAGTGTCATCTTCAAGGTTGATGATTCCAACGTGGTCCACGCTCGCCTGAAATGTCTTCACAGATGACACCTTCCTACACCGATCTCTTGAGCTAAGCTCATCCATCTTGGTAAAGGTTGCTGTATTGTTCATCACCCCTGTGTCCAGGTCGGCCTTTTTGCTTCCAGTCCATCTACTGAAAGTAAGATTGGTCCCCAAGGTCCTTCTGGTGCTTAGTAGGTTTTTGTGCTTGACGATGCTGACAAGGCGATTGAGAACTGAAAACTCAATTTTCAGCTTGACACTGTAGACGGCCGTTTTGTATGTTGTTTGGATTTCGTAGTGGCCAGAGAATTGAACAGCGAGAGGAGTGATGTCGAATATCAGGACGATAACGTTGACAAGTATAAGATGTCGTAGGAGCTTCTTGAGAGGCACTGGAGCCCTGGTACCATGTCCGCCCAGCAGTCGTACGGTTTCGTAGACATATATCAAAGATATAATGGTTTCTTGGATGGAGATGATGACGATTTGTATCTTATCGTAAACCAAGAAGCCTGGAAGGAAGCGAGGCGAATACTTGTAATTCGCACCCATGGCTAGAACAAACAGGGGGATGCCGAGTACGAGACCATTGAAGATGATCATGTACAGCACCCAGCGAATCCGAATCTTATCCTGAACAACGAGATGAAGACGCGAGTATAAGACGACTGATTGGCCAATAACCATGCATGCCCATCCCACACCAATGATGGCGCTTGACAAAAGGTCCAAGGTGGTCACCTGGAAGAACTTGAGAACGAAGCCGATAGCGTGAGGAACGATACCTGAAGTCGCAATGATGAAACTCCAAAAATACAAGCCACTGCGCTGCTTGAAGAGGGCAAATATGAGAAACATGATCTCAATGACGTTGTGCATTGCTATGGCAAGAAAGGCCGCCATGGTCATCAAGATTGATAGATGTGCCGTGACACCGCCAACTATGCCCACATCCTGCTCTTTCGCCATGCTTGAAGCGACGACTGCGCCAGGGAGACTTGGGAATCAAGTAGAGGGTCGAATGGAACAAAGAGGGATGATGTATGAGAGAGACATGGAGAGTAGTACGAAGCAGTAGCAAGTCGAAGGGTCATGTGCAGAAGCTACATAATGGGTGCTTCCGCGGAGTACAAGATGAGACGAGGAGTACCAACTCATTTGGCACGCCACTCTCGCTATCGCAAACTTTCAACGTCGTTGCGAGCCTTGGACATGTAGGTATCTATTAGGTGGAAAGGGGCATTCCGTCCCGCACGGGTTGCTGGGACGCGTTCCCCGGACTAGTGCCAGGGGCTGATTGGCACGGGTGGGCTTCCCGGGTCAGCCACAGGATGCGATTGGCTCAATGCTCGGTGCTGCTGAGCTGGGCGCCCAGTAGTGGCGCCTCCGCCCGCCTTCATCGTGATATGATTTGTTGCTCAGTTGCGAGACTGGAAGGCCTAACGACGCTTTCGACTGTCATGCCATGACGCGCATGCGCCACGCTGTAGAATACCCCTCTGGCGGCCCAGTCTTTGCCATACGGCCATGTCGCAGATGATGATCTTCACCCATTAGTAACGTCATATCCGCAGGTCAAGTTCAGCCGCAGCAGGGTGATATGCATCTGCAACGCAGTTCCGCCAAGTCCAATAGTTCTAGTCTGTTGTCTCACGATTCAGTCCACGTGCCCAGCTGCGATACTGCTCAGACGGCATGTAAACTGGCACTATTATTCTCGGAACTATATATAAGTCCACATCTTCGTGTGCTCTCTTCCATAGATTTCAACATTGTATTCTCTACTATTCCTTTCCTCTGCTGCAGTCATCCTACATGTTCTCAGGAATAGAAGTGCACATCATTCTGTAGCATTGCTCGTATTCTAATCAGAGAAACAATCTCATCATAGATTAGACAATAGTATCGGAATCGACCAGAACCAATTGCATGTGATCATTGGCAGAAATCCGGTTTTCAAAAACATTGCTTAGTAACAACAGTCAATCTAGATTTGTGAGCTCTTGTCCTTCCGCTTAGTCCTACATAAAACATTTACTTACTTGGAAGTCTATATGGTAAGTTCGAGGCGCATCACTGCCGTTATGTCCACAATCGTCGATAGCTTTAGCATCTGATAGGCTTGTACCCGTGAAATCGCTCTGGCACCAATGGTTAAGAGTCTGTGTAGCGATATTCTGCTTCGACGGATCATAGACTACGCGACCCTAGACGCATTGTTAGATATTAGTGTATACATATATAAGAAAAGGTGAATAGTAGTTTGTAAGAAGATAAGAACGGTGATGAAATTCAGAATAATAGGTTGTTTCCGGTACATACATCGCTCGTTTTCATACAGACGTCTAGAACAGGTCGGACTGTTGTACGGCAATTACGTTTGTCTAGGCGAAAAGGACTAGCAAGAGCAAGGGGAGCACTAGCAATAGCGAGAAGTATAGTAATGTACATGATGTATATATACGGCCGTTACTGTACTGTAGAGTTATAAAAAAGAGATACGCTGTTAAATGTAGATTGTATTACTTAGGTCGATGTATCTGTTTATATACGTGTGGCTCTAAGATACTCTATCAAAGGTGGTACTGCGGTATATACATTAATAGCGTTACATTAGCTCTTCAATCTCGTTGAACCTTCTAAATAGAGTCTTAGAAATTTAACCGTGACCTAGCAATGAAGAATACGAGCTTCCATAAGCTAAATGACATTAAATCCTTAATAGAGTCTTACCGTCTCCACGCAGCTCAAGTATCACTCAACTAACATCAGAGCGTAAAGGATATTTCTCTTCGGTAGCATATCTTTAATTCTTTAGAAAAATCTACTTTTAACGTTGAGAATTCAGCTAACTAAATGAATACAGTTGCAAGGTACTAGAGTACAGATGTGCGTTGAGGATCTATCCAATGCTAATCTCTTTATTCGGCGGTATTGTGGGTATGTAATACATGCTATAGTGCAGTTCATGCAACGCTGACATGATCTAATACTATGTAGTGGTAGCTAGGAAGGGGGTCATGCATTCCTATAGCGCGCTATTTTTCATATGCAGTCAAAACATCTGTTTGAAAAGCTATAGCTAGGGGTCGTGGAGAAATACCTACTATTGTGTTTGTTACAATCATAGTCGCTGAAAACAGCAGTGTTGAGAATAGTTAATGTGCATAATCCTGCGAAGTAGCTTTAGTAGTCTTTGGTTGAAGCTAAAGCGCTACTGTACGCGATTGTGCATAGTCTCTAGTTAAGCACTCTAGAATTAAAAAGCGGCAACGACTAGAGAACTGTACAATGTGAACAACTTATAATGCATCTAATAATGTATAATAGTACATAGGTATTAGCATAAGACTGTTATCTACGCTATTAGCTAGCATAAGATTAAAATACTCCGAAATATCCAAAAGTGGACTTGTCTATAGGAATGTGTAGTTCCATGGTTTATAGGAGATATGTATGATTTTGTAACGATGTTACAACTTCGCCAAGTATTGAGCCAATCCCAGAGCCGGATCGGAGG